TCTCTCTCTCTCTCTATATATATATATATATATATATATATATATATATATATATATATATATATATATATATATATATATATATACATATATAATTAATTAAAAAATTCAAACTTTACCGTTTTATATATTATTTGCATCTTCAATCTTCCCTCGACTGCATGTTTTTTGCCAGGTATTATTTATTAATAATGTTAGTTTTAATAAAATGAATTCAGACATGAAAGGAAAAAATATTTTTCACTTTTGATCATGGTCTTTGGAAGCTAGTTACCTAACGTAGTTTTTATTATTAAAATCAAGCAAAATGTAATTTTACTATACTTAATATTAGTGCATGTTGATTAATCAAAGTGGAATCGAAACCAAACTTTGAGGATGAAACTTAAACGATTAAAAGGCCATGTTTCAATTTTGGTTTCATGAGTCCCATATATACTTTTCTGTTTGTTTAAATTGAACTGTACTTGCAGCAGTTTGGATATGTGCATGCTATAGTCACTTATCAATATATCATACAGACATCAAAGACAGTGAAACATGAAATATTCATTTAAGCAAATCATAGTCCAAGACTATAAATTAATATTATACCTCAAATTCAAATTGTCCAATCAGGAAGCTTAGTTTGCGCCACGTGAGCATGAAATTAATCGCGATATCACGCCTTACGTCATCAATTAGCGAGCCAGCGTTCTTTTTGATAATGTTCCACCCCATGTTCCCCGGGGAACATGGGGTGGAACATTATTCGCGTAGACAACGCGAGACAACACGCATAACAACAACATGGCCGACAAAATATAAATAGTATTGATGAGTGATGAATAATCTGGGTAAATGATGTAAAACCTGGGGCTTTTTCAAAATTTTGAAGTAAATTTTGAAAAATGTTGTCATTAATATTCCAAACGATATGTGATTCGAAAGAAAAGCGACGATACTTGCGTTAATCCGAAAATAAAACATCGTATTCACGAAGGTATGTGTCAAGCTTTTATTTCTCAACTTGGAGGCTTTTAATTTTCGGTATAATATATCATTTATAGACCCTCCGCTCGGGGAATTCTGCGAAATATTACCCTCAGTGATGATATTTCCCTCGGGGCAAAGCCCCTCGGGAAATATCATCACTTCGGGTAATATTTCGCCGAATCCCCCTCGCTCCAGGTCTATAAATGATAAAAGTTCGGTTCTGCTCATAACAATGTGAGGTATGGAGGGTGCATGATTACCGCCAAAATTAATGTTTGAATTTTGCATTCCAAGTTCTAGATTTTGTTGTTCGTTCCGTGCTTTATCATATCAATGAATTGAATTTTGATATTATGTCCTTAAGCATTCCATTGTGATGACGTAACATTGTGTGTGACCCTCAGAACACAATTTTCAACTCGTATTTAATGATAATTTATTTCCCGCAAATAATTCTAATTATCTCTAATTATTCCAAAATTGTTACTTCGGCTGTTCGGCATACGGATTAGCCTGTGTACAACCGTAAATTGTCCCGCAATTAACTAATTCCGATAATTACGGGAGAATTTACGGCTGTACACAGGCTACATACGGATAAAATGGTCGAGAACCGCTCAAAATCACATGAAGCAGCAGCTTTAAGTACTACGCCCTGCGCCAAGCATTTTAACGCTAAATTCTGCCGGAAGTGAAGGATGTTCTTCGGAGAGTGCAAGGAACAGCAACATGGCCAATACAGTGCGTCTAATCCAACCTACCCCAAGTTAACAAGCACAACCTCTAGCCACGATGAATTTCGGCGACTATTCACCCCGTACAATAGGGCTAACAATAGCTGAATTAACTCGTAAATATTAATAATGCACTTTAAACGAGCAAGATGTAAAATGTATGAAGTAAGTCTTGATGTGAAATTGTGAATACGATATTTTACAAATACAAGCTCTCCGCTTCTAAAAGCTCCAGCAAAAACACTCCTTTAGCTCGAGTAAACGCTTTAGCAAGCGTCTTGTTTACTATAAATTTATAGTATGATCATATTACATGTAACATTAAAATTATTTGCGTGGAATAAATTATCATTAATTTAAAAATACGAGTTGAAAATTGTGTTCTGAGGGTCACACACAATGTTACGTCATCGCAATGGAATGCTTAAGGACAGAATCGCAAACAGAAGTACAAATGCAATTGCGAACGTCAAATTTCAATTCTTTAATATCAAAATTCAATTCATTGATATCACAAAGCATGCACGGAACAAACAAAAAAAATCTAGAACTTGGAATGCAAAATTCAAATACTAATTTTGTCGGTAATCACCCTCCATACTGAGGACTCTCTAATGTGAACATTGCCCAAATTTCGAATGTTTCGAATTTTTCTGAACATAGACTCTATTTCATATTCATTTAGAAGCATAGCGAACCAAAATAGTGTTAGATATTCTGACAGTACATCATATTTTAAAAAATACAGCAGTTCAAAATGTAAACAAACCGTTTGTTTACATTACGGACTTGACTTCCACTTTAAATTTACCGATCACATATAATTACTATTCTTACTTAAATTTTTTTTTTGTCTCTACTCCGAGTTTCACGCATTACTGCGATCATATATATATATATATATATATATATATATATATATATATATATATATATATATATATATATATATATATATATATATATATATATATATATATATATATATATATATATATATATATTTGTGTCAGAGTTGTTAACGAGTCCTAGGTTGCAAGTCCAAGTCAAGTCACAAGTCATTTCCTGCAAGTTCAAGTCAAGTCACAAGTCATTTGGTCTGAGTTCAAGTCAAGTCACAAGTCATTTTGTCTAAATCCAAGTCAAGTCACAAGTCATTCCGAGTGGCAAGTCAATTCAAGTCAAGTCACAAGTCATTTTATCGCCACATGTGGGCCATGTTTTCCCACGCAAAACGGCAAAATATGTAAATATGGCGTCGTTATTTTATGTCAGAAATTTTACCACGAAATCGCGAAAAAACCCCGCTTTGTCAGAAAATACGCCGGCACAAATTCTGTCGATGCCATTGATATGTACTAAGGTCGTTGCCCAAATTGTACAACACGACGATCGATCGATCAACACAAAGATTTTGGAAAACTAGATTTTCACTAGATATTTACGTTTGACTTGCGTTGGTAACAAGTCATTTCTTGCAAGTCCAAGTCAAGTCACAAGTCATTTTGTCCAAGTCAAGTCACAAGTCATCAGTCTCTTTAACAAGTCAAGTCACAAGTCACAAAAATTGCGACTCGAGTCCAAGTCACACGACTCGAGTCTACAACTCTGAATTGAACTCGTGTTGCTATTCGAGAAGAAACCTGCGACGCTTCGTAGTTTCAAGGCCGAGAAACACCGCGGACGCGATTCGACAACGAGGCATGCACGATTTTTGAGTTTGTAAAGTTAATAAAACAGCCAATGAAAGGAAATTTTAAAAGATATGTGGACCAAAAAATGTTATAGCGCTTCTAAATATTTGAAAAACTTAAACCAGGATCAAATAGTTATCGGTCGGTGAAAAATCGCGTCCCGTGTGTCTGTGGAAACTCTTTTCTGACATGGGCCGAGGCAAAAGTATAACAATATGCTCCCACGAATACAACCTGGTCTGACTAAAGAAAGACCTCGCTCTACATATATCTATATATATACTACGACGGTTTCAGTCCAAACGCCGATTTACATGACACAACTTTTGCTAAAAGCTGTCGCGCGCAACATGTTTACAACTTGAATTGTACTGTGTAAATCAAGCAGACAAGTCACCTTCAACAACGTCGCCTAGAACAACGTCGCCCAGAACAACGTCGCCTAGAACAACGTCGCCTAGAACAACGTCGCCTAGAACAACGTCGCCTAGAACAACGTCGCCTAGAACAACGTCGCCTAGAACAACGTCGCCTAGAACAACGTCGCCTAGAACAACGTCGCCTAGCTGTGTGCTTGATTTACACAGTACAACTTAAGTCATGAGCAGGTTGCATGTGACAGTTTTAGGCAAAAGTTGTGTAGTGCATCACAGTAGTGTAAATCCACCTTTATAGCCTACGGAGATATTAGATTCAAATGCGCAATACATACAAAACATGCAGATGAATATAAATTTATTTGAATTGTATAAAAATTATTTGAATTGTATAAAATGTTATACGTTTAATGTTCCACTATTTAATAAATCTTGGGCCGGTTGTTCAAAAGCTGGTTAACATAACCCTGGGTTAACGTGAAATTCAAAGCATACTTTCCAGCAGCTTGTTTATATGAACTTGTTTATATGAGCTTGTTTATATGAACAGAAATCTTCTGAATCATCGGAGGTTTAATTTTAGTTTTGAAATAAACATGCTTGCAGACATACAGATATACATAAAGCAATTAATGGGTTAAATTCAACCCAACGGTTAGTGCTAAATGTGCTTTGAACAACCAGCCCCCTTAATTAACTGTCCAAAGCAATTAGAAACTTATCCTACCTCAATGTCTTTCTTTAACTGATAGAATATTCCTGCAGATACCAAACGAACTGAACGCGTCTCGAAGAAGTTATGGCGATATTTAAAAAAACTTCAGTATTTCAAACGTCGATGTTTACGCCCATGCAAGATGGACACAAGGTGGTAAGTGAAATTTAATATTGTAATAAACTTTGAATATTGTTTTGTCAAAACACTTATTGTACTCAATAACCAAATTCGACGATTCCTCGCATTCGCATGCAGGTGCAAAAGTTTGGGTTTCGAAATTTAAGGAATTTAAGTATACGAAATTCCTGCCAGGAACCTGTAGTTGCATTTTTCTCAGCTGTTCCTGGTTATAGGTCTAATTCATGGAAATAAAATTTCCACTCGATAATTTCCATCTACAAAGACTCTTCAACTATTTTTGAATTGAGTGAGATGCGAGCCAAAATTTCTAAATACGCTCTTAGAATTTTCATCATAGAACTGTTGACATCTTTGCATCTTTATTTATTTAAAACACGAGATCCATTTCACAAGTTACAGTGAAAATACGTGTTCTTCATGAGTGGAGACGTCTACCTATGCTAGTAAAGTAATTTCTAATAAATAAATATCAAAATATTTACAAGAGTTACAGACTCATGCACATATGCAAAGAAAGTAATATAATACAAATATGCAATTATTAAGAAATTTTAGATTTAACCTCAGCGAGAGGTTAGGCTCTAGCGAGTTCAACGGTATGTCGTTCCATAGGGTAGCCTCTCTATATAAGCAATGCTTTTCTTACAAAAAGTTTATGATTAGAGCCTCGCAAATTGTGTTCGTCTCACGGTTAAGTCACGGTGTAGGGCATTAATATTTACCATATTTAAACTTCGATATTCTACTTTGTGACCTCGTTCTTTGAAAACCTAACATGCATTTGTCTACCCTATACTAAATTTCACACGTATTATATATAGGTTAAGCACGCGTATATACAAGTGGTTTGATCAGCTCGGACTACAAGTGCTTTAAATGAAATTTTAGTTGGATGAGATTCAGGGACGCCCGAACGATGTGAAGGCAAGGGGGGCATATTTTCGTGAAAGGGCACTTTTGAATTGATATATAAGAAATGTTGGCAAAACATCGGGAGTTGAACTTCGCCTAATCATGTTTTTTATTAATTGGATGATAGGGGTGTGAGAGGGTTCTCCGCCAGGCGGTGCTATTCTTGAAGCTCGATGACTGCATTTCTTGCGTTTTCTGAAGCAAATTCGTAAAAGAATTGCACTAACATTTCTGACAATTCGCTATTTCGCCAAGGCAATCCCTTAAATTGAAAGGGCACCTTTGTCCCCCTTGCCCTCCCCTTTGTCCCCGGGGGCCGACTGCTCCTCCTGCCCCCCAGTTCCGGCGCCCCTGATGAGAGTTTTGGCTTCGCTTGCATGCGGTTTGAATTCACCTCAGTCATCAGCTTTTGGATGTTTTCAAAAATCGAGCAATTGGGTGAGAGTTTTGGCCACGCGCACTGTTTCAATTCGCCTCGACAACTTTGAGATGTCGCTGATGTTAATTACAGTAGTGAGAGTTTGGCTACAGAACCGCGTCATAAGTAAGGAACACGGCTATCTCAAGCTCAGACAGTTTATGCAGTATTATAACATTACTTATTCGCAAACAACCAGGATAGTAAAATATGAAGACATGCATGCTTTTAAAAAGTCATGCATGGAACCAAAAATATGAGGACGAAAACGATCTCATGCATTATCAATTGTTGCTGATACCAATTCATGTGAAGAAGACACACATGACGCTCTGCAAAAGATTCTTTTTCATTTGTGAATCATTTTTCACTGTATTGTTCAAAGGTAATTTCACATTCAGCTTGTGTTGAAATTTGTTTACTGTTACTCGACATGTCAAATATTTTTGCGCTATGTTGAGTATACAATATTCAAAAATATAAAAGAATTTGTGGAACCAAATAGTTACTTTCAGTTACTTAAATCTAGCCCTTTCCGTTTAATAGTGTCCGCTATACCCTATATACATAGTTCTCCACTTGTTCATAGAGGGCGAAATTAAACCATGCATGCAGTGTTGCTATTACGCTTCGTAGTTTCAAGGCCGAGACAAAAGCGGAGGCGATTCGGCAACGCAGCGCAATTTTTCAGTTTTGAAAGTTAATAAAACAGCCAATGAAAGAAAATTTAAAAATATATGTGGACCAAAAAATGTTATAACGCTTCTAAATATTTGAAAAAAGTAAACTAAGATCAAAGTTATCGGTCGGTGAAAATCGAAAAATCCCGCGAATCGCGTCCCGTGTGTCTTTGGGAATGCTTTTCTGACATGGGCCGAGGCAAAAGTATAACAATATGCTCCTAAGAATACAACCTGGTTTGAGTAAAGAAAAACTTCGCTCTATATACAACGACGTTTTCAGTCTAAACGCAAATTTACACGACACAACTTGTCGCGCGCAATATGTTTACAACTTGAGTTGTACTGTATATTAAATCGAGCACACAACGCACCTACAACAACCGAACAACGTAACCTAGTTGTACGTGTGCTTGATTCACAGCACAACCCAAGTTGTGAGCAGGTTGCATGCGACAGTTTTAAGGTCCAGACACACCGGACGCGATTCGACATCGCGACGCGACTTCTTAGTTTTTCAGTGAAAGTTAATAGAACAGCCAATGAGAGCATATTTTTAAAGATATGTAGACCAAATAATTCAAAATGTTATATACCGCTTCTAAATATTTGGAAAAGTATATAGGATCAAAGTTATATCGGTCAGTGAAAATCGAAAAATCGTATCGCGTTGTCGAATCGCGTCCGGTGTGTGACCTTAATGCAAAAGTTGTCAGTTATAGTGTAAATCGATCTTTACGGAGATATTAGATTCAAATGCGCAATACATACAAAGCAGATGAATATATAAGTAGTTGAATTATGTAAAATGTAGAAATACGTTTTATGTTCCCCTATTTATAATACATCTTTGGCCGGTTGTTTAAAAGCTATTTAGCTTAACCCTGGGTTAACCTAAAATTTAAAGCTTACTTCCAAGCAGCATGTTTATAAATTTGGAAATATTTTTTCAGAAATCTTGTTTGGATCATCAGAGGTTTAATTTTCTAAAGACGAACAGAAATACATAAACCAAAGCAATGGGTTAATTTCAAACCAGGGTTAGCGCCAATTGTGCTTTGAACAACCAGCCCCCTTAACTATCCAAAGCAATTACAATAAAAGTGTCTTACCTCGATGTCTTTCTTTAATTAACTGATAGAAAATTCCTGCAGCTGACAAACGAACTGAACGCGTCTCGAAGAACTTGTGTTAAACAAAACTTCAGTATTTCAAACGGCGTGTAAATTTGCTTACAATTAAAGCGCAAACCAAATGAATCAAATACCAGAAACTCTATTACAGAAACGTATAACAAGCCTCGTTTCCATACAACTTATCCAACTAAGAATATTCGATTTCGGGACAAATGGAATTTCAAACTTTTCCGTGAATTGTGGTTCCAGAAGAAAATTATGAATTTTTTCAAACCTAACAAGAAAATTTGGTGCGTGACTGTATTAAATAGAATGTTTGCTTTGGAATTCTTTGGCTAAGTACGCGCACGAAGGAAAATTTATGTTTGTTTTCTGCTAACTATACTTATAAACAAGTTTATGAAAAATAATATACTTACAATAGTTTCGCAAAGTATTGACAGCTTATAGATCAGATATTCATTGCGTACAAAAACTGCGAATGCTGAAAATGATGCTTTAAAATCTCATAGGAATTATGCATGCAGTAAGCACAAGACATTGACTATAATCTTTATTCTTAAACATTATAGGCTGAATACATATTATAAGTTAAACGATAGTTATTACAATTTCTCAGTAGCGTATTCTTTCACGCAAGACAATGTTCTCCTTTTTTCGCGCGTCACTTATACACTAAGCAAAATCGTCGCCGACAAGAGACTGAAAAAGCACTTCGCGCAAAATTCGCTATTGGAAAACCGCGATGTCAAAAGAATTCACCGAGTCTATAGTAGTATGTGGGACCGCGTCCTAAATAAGGCCGAATACGGCTATCTCAAGCTCAGACAGTTCATACAGTATTAAATTTACTTGTTCCCAACAACTATATAAGACATTAAAATATGAAGACCTGCTTTTAAAAAATATGAAGCCATCATGGAACCATGCAAGCATATATGAGGACAATAACGATCTCATTATCAATTGTTGCTAATACCAATTCACATGGTGAAGAAAACGCATAACGCTCTGCAAAAGATTCCTTTTTTTTGTAAATCATTATTCACTGTATTGTTCAAAGGCAATCTCACATTGCTTGTGTTGAAATTTGTTCAGCACACTTATACTCAACATATCAAATATTTTTGTGCTACTATGAATATACAATATGCAGAACACTGCAGAAATATATAAGTTACTCTTATCAAAGAATTATTTTGTGGAACCAGAAAGTTACTTTTAGTTTTGATACTAAATCTAGCCCTTTCCGTTTAATAGTGTTTATACTCTATACACAAAAGTCAAGGAAGGGGGCAAGGAAACTTGTCTGAAATTTTAACCTATACCTCAATTTAAATG